ACGTCGTGGAGGCGATAAGCAGGCACGCGGCCCCATCCATAGGGGTCAGATACGGGGGGAACTGCCGAGTTTCCGGCAAGACGTGGGGCCGAATAGCCCATCGTTAGCAGTGAGTGGCACGCGAGGTTTGCCTTGGCTGCCACAGCACAATCACCAATCTCAGCTTCCAAACCAGCAGAAGACATCGAGCCTGTGTGCATGGACACGGAAAGAGCAAGCAAGGCACCGTGGTTGCGAATGTAGAATAGTAGAGACTTCGCAAAAGAGGTCATGTAGGTGGGACGACAGAACTAGCCGGCAGCACAGAGCACGGAGTGCCATTCACCACCAGTGCCAAACGCAGTCCTCTCTACCCTCCCCTTTTTTTCTGGCCCTTATTGTACCTGAACCCTTGCCCCCTCTGTTGTTGCACTCGGACGTGTCCTGCACGAAGTAATCAAAACAACAGAAAAAGTTGGTACGTGGTACAAGGGTCAACCAAGGGGTACCGCATCTACTGCAGCTCTTCCCAACACCTCGGACGAACCTATAAAATACATGCGATAGATCATCCTTCTCATAGCCACCACACAGTTCCAACGATCTGTATGTACGCAATATCCTACGCGTTCACTAGCATATTGGATGAAAAGAAAAGCAGGAATGTTCACGGTGCGTTTTTTTCGACGGTACGTTGCGGTTAAACCGCACCGCACCGCATCTTGGGGATTCAGAAGGAACCGTAGATGCGGTGTCTATCACGGTGCGGAGCGCGAAGCACGACATTTTCCCTGTCATCCCCAGGAGGGAAAAAAATGGCTCCATATATCGGGCTCTTCTACCCCACGCGATGTAGGGGCCCTTCTGCAATTTTCGCCGACTTATGAACCGTCCGAAAATAATCGCCTTTGTTCGACGAGAACGGAGTATATAGAGCACCGATTTACTGACGATCTGCTGCCTTGTGAGGAGGGAAAAAAATAGGGCCCTCTTCGTCACATCGGTTTGGTCGCGCTCCGACAACAGATGGCCGTGCTTGACAGTCATTGTCCCCAAAATACTGAATACTTTGACCCCTTTCCCATCCTCGTACCTTGCAACTAGTCGCGCATGGCCGAGGCAAGAAGTGCGGGCCGCCTGCGAAGACGTCGACGTCGATGAAAGCGACATCGCCGGACTCCTGCGCCGCATTCGGTTGATCAACCAGAGCAAACTAGCAACGCCCAGGGGAGCGACCCCGAGAGTTGTAGAGGCAATGGAGGAGAGAAAAATCGGAGGTGTTCCACACGCGCACATACATGAAATTGCTCGATTCAAACCAGGAGAAACAAAGGAAGCACTCAGCTAAACACGCAACACTGCTGCGAGGGGCAAGACATCACTGGCGAGGGAACGAGGGGGGGGGGGGGGGGG